CCATTATGTTGTAGAAGATTCACAGCTCTGTCAGCAATGGACAGAAATGCAAACAGAGTTAGACTGATATCATAATCAGCCCCTGGAAGGCATATCCTAAAAAACAAGTAATGACAGGTGTCATACTGATATCAATAAGCAAGTGCATATTTGGAAAATCTACACAATGTCTATCTAGTGGTGACTGAACTTGAACTGATGGAGGATGATATCTGTAACCTTATCAAGCTTGCCTGATAACCCACTGTAAACAATATTTCTCAAACCTTTTCTGACAGCCAATGTGCAACCTAGTAGATGATGTCTATTGTGATCCAGCAAGGCGCTGTGATTTTTTTTCTAGAGCAAAAGCATGCTGATGGATTCATTAATTATATTTTTACAAAATGTGAGTCAAAAGAAATTTGTCTATTTACTTTGATACATTATAGGTAAACAATTGAACACCTTCTGATAGTGCAGTATAGGCAAAGTGATACTGATTATTTCTGCGGTCTTAATATAGCACCTTCTAGTAAGTGAGCAAATCCTGTAAGCATCCAGGGATAAAATCACAGTTGGAGGGTGGTGCCTCCTTGAGTTATTCTGTGGATATGTTCAGACTGTAGAATTTTTATTCTCAGTCCTGTCCCATTCCCTAGATTATTTACTCTCTCAGGTTCTTCAAAGTATGTGCACTGGTTTAGTAAAGGAGGATATGAGGAAGGACCCCAATTGCTTGTATAAAAGAAACTTTATATAGGTAATGTAGAGATTCCTAATAGATAGCATTCAAATTAATAAACTACACATTGCACTAAAAATGGAAAACAAGTATGTGCTAGATAAAGTTTTGATTGATATTTCAGAGGCTGGGTTAAGATGTGTGTTAAGATGTGTACCTTTTTGACAGTTATAATTCCTTCCTGTGTGTCCTTGTCTGTGGTAATTCCAAACATGTCATATCCATCCCCCTCAGTGATGCTGTATTCAATCTCTGCATTTTCATCCACGTCAGCATCATTCGCTTTTATCCTGCCAACTGGTGAGTCAGGTGGTGTAGACTCAGGAGCTTTAAATTGGTATGTGCCTACAGCAGACAGAGAAGGAAATTTTGTCAGTCAGTCTCATGGTACTTTGGACACCATCTCTCAGCCCACTGTCCATGCTGGGCACGCCCAGATGAATTAGCGAGTTGCTGTATCTTCAGGACTTCAAGGGGCAACAGCCTTCAGCTTCTGCCTTACTTTCATGTGGATAAAAGTAACTTATTTTTCTGTTTTCTAGTATGAAGGATAGGCATTTTGTTTTCCTACACACATATATCTTTAGGAACATACGTCCCTTTCTAGACATTATCAGGATCTCTGTTGGCCATATCAAAATTGTATACGAAAAATGTCTTGAGGCCAAAAGACAAATATTAAGAACCACCAGAGGCCAACGCAGCTTAGTAAGAATAAAACCAAATCCAGTCCAAATGCCTATTAATAATGTGCTACATTGAATTCTCCTCTGAAAAAAACTCTATTCGCGGAATGTTGGCATTATGAAGCTGTATCTTTGGCTTTTATATTGAAGACACTTATGTCCAGAGATGTATAATTAACTCATTGGAGGCAGAGTGCTATATTTTCTCTTAAGTTGCTCTAATTTAAATGGAAATGCTTTGCCCACAGCTAAGAACAGACTTTGAACTTAAATGACAAGTTGCTTCCAATAACTTTCCCAGTGACTTAACCGCCAAAGCTTGCTGATTTGTCTGATAGTATCTGCAATTATTTTCTCTAACAGCTGCTCTTGACTTTGACACACACTGACACTGTGATACACACACATCACAGACAGAGCAGTTGTTAGACAAAGCAAAAAAGAAGAAAAAGAGAGAGAGAAGGAAGGAAGAAAAGAAAGAAAGAGAGAAGGAAGTAAAGAGAGGGAAAGAATGCTTTGAATCACTTATAGCCATGAATGGTCATTAATAGAAATTACTTTCTAAGAGATCTGGCTCATGTGATTCCCTTAAATATCACACAGATATCTATCAAATGATCTGAGACAGGGGAAGGAGAATAGGCAGAAATATCTGGTATATTTATGTACATGCTTTTGTTTCTGTATGAAAAGAATATAGGAAAAATCCATTGAGGCAAATGCTTTCTGGGTGTCAGTATTCATTTTGATAGAATTGCTCTTGGGATCATTTTATGTACTTAAATAAACATGTTTCAGAACTTAAATATGTTAGATTAGAACAGATATCTTAAAATGCAGTCAATCACAAAGTCTAATAGAAAAAATATTGATCAAGCTATATAGATTATATCAAAGCTATTTAACGGGTAGGAAAAATAATGTTTCTCTACATTAACTCACCTCTCAGACTATCTACTGCAACTAGAGTAAAAATATTAAAGATATGTTTCCCAGTTATTGCAATTAACTGTAGAATGATCCTATTGCTTGCTTGTGTGTTGTCTTTTTCTTTCTTAAAGGAATCTGATACTCAGTAAGTACACAACAGAATAAACAATATCTCAGGTGAAAAAAAAACCAAAATAAACCCTATCAATTTCCGTCCATTTTACTGTAAAGACATAGAACATAAATATTCCATACTCTGGGGGAAGCGAGGTGGATTGTCATTTACGTCAGTCAATGTGATGTTCACGGTGGTGGTTCCTGATAATCCGCCCATTTGGCCTCCCATGTCCTTAGCCTGGATGACCACTTGGTATTGCTCCCTGTTTTCACGGTCCATGTTTAGCAAAGCAGTTTTAATAATGCCTGAAAACATGAAAATTGAAGAGGGGGAATTCACAAGTAAGGTACTGACTTTGATGGAAATTCTTATTAAAAAACCCCCACAGCCTAAAGAACAAAACAATCTCTGTGTAATAAGTAAACTTTGCCCAGTACAAATATTTACTGTTATGAGATGGCACATTAAATTACAGACTTGTCATATCGTATCTCAGGCTGCTGCCTATGTGACAGACACAATATTAGTGGCATCCCCAGAAAGATGTTCTACCTATTTGTGAGCAGTGTTATTTTACATAACTATTTACCCCTTTTCAGTTCCATGCTAAAGTCTCTCACTGAACTGGAAAAAGGCTCTTTGTTCATTATAAAGTGCTCCATCTTTTTTCTCCTGTTCAGTCAATATTTTTATTTTGACAGATGTGGTTAAAGAAAAAAAAAGAAAAAAAGCTAACTTCAGCAAGACATCATTGAAGAGGCAGTACAACAACATTAAATGGGAGAAGAGAAATTAATTAAGAAAATTGTGAGCATCCAAGCATGCCCAAGTATATATATTTCTGTTTATACATTGATTGAAATGATTTTGCCAGTCGCTTCCTTCTTCAAAGGCACAAACATCAGTTATGAGGCCAGCTCCTATTGAAATTCAATCATTCATATTTACCATGAAGCAAAATGTTTGCATTCTCACTGGGTCTCTTAAGGCTAAGAACTGACTCTTTTGTAGGCAAAAGGGGTGAAATTCAAGTACTGAAATCCATGGCAAAATTCACAGCAGCTTTGACAGAGACTTACTTCACTCTAGGAGTTTTGCAATTGATTTCCATGGCAGGAAGATCAAGCCTGTGGTTTACCTTGCTTCCCCTCTGTGCCCCATACAACCCTCTTGCTAAAAGATTATTGCTGGTGAATTCCCAGCTACACTATCCTTATTATAACTCTAGATAGAAGAGCACATAGTGTACTCTCCCAGTCAGAATGAGTGCATCAGTGCAAAAATCCTTGCTTGTATTATCTAATACCTTATGCTTGAAGGGAAGCTCCCTTTGATTTTGGCTTTTTTCAGAATTCTATACATTTTTTCACTTTAGGATTTTCTTTGAGACATCAAATGTCTCCCTCCTTTTCCTTTCCTGAGTCTCTAAGATTTATTTAAGAAACAATCCTAAAACCTGATTAATTCTCTGGGATAATCTATTCCTTTCCTGTGAGGGTGCTGAGGAGAAATGATTTCTTTAGCTTCCAGCAACCTATCACAGGGGATGTTCCCATTTAAGGAGTTTCTTGAGATCCTTTCTTTCTTGTTGGAGAAGTTTGTTATAAATCTTGAGAAGAGACGATCTATGTAGTCAGATAGTCAATGGTACAGCAGATTCAGCCAGCCAGAATTCATATGTTTTACATGCACAGGTTCTAAAGCTGTCTGTTACTTAGTCCATAAAAAATTCCAGTCACTGTGTATAATTTAAACATCTTCCAAAAACAGAACTCAGAAGTTTGGAATTCTATTTGTGATCTTCTAGTGTAGCGCCGCAGACAATTTTACCTCTTCTATCATTAGTCTTAATTAAGATTTCTTTCATAAAATTATCATTAAAGTGATATGTTGCAGATGTACAGAAATTATAATTACTTTAAACAAGTTTTGAAGAAGCAGAAGGAGAAAAAACCTCCACCTGAACAAACTCTCAGTCTTAATTTAGCCATTATGAAGATCTATGAGGATTAAGCACGTTTTTCCACACCCACCTGTTTCCTGTTTTCTTCTAAAACCCAACCTATTTGGTTTAATTTAAGCATCCACAGCAGTCTCTACCCACTTCTTGTTAAAAATGATTGAAAACTGGTTCACATCCAGTACTAATTGTATTTATTAGACTTTGCTGATAAGATTAAAGTAATGTAGGTGTCATGTTTACAGATGTATTGCCCTATTAAGTCTGTCAGATTTTGCACTGAGTAAGATGTAATCTCTTTGATGTTTTTGTCTAATATGTCCTAGCTTGGCATAGCATGTCATTTTGAATTACAGACATTGTCATAGAATGACAGATAAGGTCCCCTGACCTGTCTCAGATTCAACGGAGAAATATGGTTGTCCCTGCAGAATGCTGTAGACAACTTTAGCACTGTTCCCATACGTAGGATCATCGGCATCAGTTGCGGTGACTTGCACAACAAAGGTACCTGCAATGATTAATTAAAGAAAATAAAAATCCACAGGTTTTTTTCATGGCCAAGACAGTTTAGGATGTAGAAAAAGCATAGTTCAGGTTCAGGTCAAACTTGTGGCAAAAATTTAGAGATATTCTTATTTCGTGGAAGTTTCTCTCTTCATAAAGGACATAGATACAAACCCAAAATTATAGTTGGCTTATTCCCAGTTCATTAAAATACACAGTTATTGATTGGATATGTAGATCCTTCATCATATTTCTTATGAAGAAACCAGAAACGCACCCTTCCCCAGATATTGAAGGCATTCAGAATTTGAATCTAGTCCAAGAATATACTTTTGCAAATTTACTCCGTCTTGTAAGGTGTTTGACATAGGAATGTAAATCTGGTTTTTCATGTGTCTTCTAGAGAAAGAAATGATGTTGAATCCTAGGCAAAGTGTTACAAAACATAAAAAATGATCTTAGGTTTTGGCATTTAAAACAGATTTGTGAATAAAGTATTCACCTCACATATTAAAATGTGAATATTAGGTTCTCTCTTCACCAGATGAGGTTTCATCCATATGACAAGTCCCATGAATGATAGGAGAGAGTATGCCCCAAAGTCTTTATTTTTGTATTATTTAAGCTTTATTTTAATCTCATTCTTGATTATGATTAATTAATGCTTCTCTCCCTGGATATTAGTTCAGATTAGAAGTGTGCTTCTTGCAGTTCAACTATCCATCGATCTCTGAGAAAGAAATCAAAATGACTTCCCTAAGAATGAGACAAAGAATCAAAACCTGTCAACTTCTCTGGAAAAGATCCAATCTTAAAATCATATTTCAAGGAAGTTCTTTTCTTTTATTGATTGATTCTTACAGCTTGATACATCTCAAATCAATAGAAAGATTTCAGTGGACTTCAATGGACTTTGGACCTCTTTTCTTTTGCATGAAATGAATAACAAAGGTCACAGGAAGTTAATGGCATATCTCCAAATCAGTGATGAGTTGACTCAGGTGGCAGTGTTTGTTCCTGAAATGTGTACAACTACTTCTGAACCTGCCCTTTTTTTTTTTTTCTTTTTTTCTTCTTTTTTTCTTCTTTTTTTTTTACCTTCCTGGACTAAACAGGGGTTGCTGAACAAATCTAAGGGTGATATGGACATGCTTAGGTGACAATGGATTATCATATTACACTGCTAATAACTGCATGTTAACAACGCATATTAAACTCTTTACAGATGTCATGTAACACAGCTTAGCTCAGCTCACTTTCACTGTGAACTAAACTAGATTAGATTGTATTAACTTGTATGTTTTTTGTGGTACAACAGCGGGAGTGGGTTTCTCTCAGCTGACACCTCTGATTCCAGCAAAATGTTGTCGCTATTGTCATGGAATTAAATTTTTTTTTTTTTTTTTTTAAAACAGCTGAGATGCTTTTACTCCAGACTCAGTGGATGTCTGTATTCAGTGCCTGTAAACTTTGGGCCCTTCATTAACTCCATGGAAAGAAGTCAGACCAGACACTGAAATAGATTATTAGTTATCACCTACCAACATCTGACATTTCGGGAATGCTGGCATTGTAAACATCCTTTGTAAACATTGGCTCATTGTCATTGATATCATGGATCTTAATGATGAACTCAGATTCTGGTTCCACTGGTCTTCCAGTCCTTCTGTTTATAGCCTGGGCACGGAGTATGTATACAGGCTTTTCTTCCCTGTCTAGTCTCTTTGTGGCCTGGATGTCACCAGTGTTTTCATTGATAATGAAGAGATCTCCTGCTCCATCTCCAGAAAGGATGTACTTAAGTGATCCGTCTCCTTTATCCTGGTCTGAATGCAGCTGGTGGTGAAATGGGAATAAAAAAAAGAAAGCAAAATAAATAAATTGGGACACAATTCTAGATACTTTAACTGATATCATGATACATGCTTTACTATTAATAATACCCAGCCCAAAGGCTGTACACTGCTGTTGGGAAATGAGATGATAGCACAGTAGAAGCAGTGAATTGATAGAGTTGTGCCTTGATGTCGGAATTGAAATGGTCTGCAATACTGTAAGAAATTGCCTGAGGAAAACCATGAATTGAAGCTGCAGATCACCTTCCCAAGTGATCAATCAGATCTAAATGCTAGTGGCTTAGGTGGAATCCTAGGAATATGTAGGACAGTGAGATCCTACAGTGGAAAAACAGTAGATTCAGAAATTGCAGAAAGCAAAAAAATTAAAAAGTGGCCAGGCCAGCCACTTCTTGAGTTTAAATTCTGGGTGCTCAGTTCTTAAGCCCCTGGACACTATGTAATATACCACACAGTGCACAACATAATAACATACTAAATACATACACAGATAGCAGATAAATACATGCATTCACAGATGTGGCAAACTAAGAGCAGAGGCAGGCAGGCATATTAGACCATTACAACACCGGCAATGAAGAGATCAGTTGCCTTATCCAAAGGGACATGGACCAAGCTCAAACATGATGGAGGCAGAGGAAAGAAAAAAATGAGGGTAATTAGCATACAAAGCATGAGCTGCCCAAATCATCATCTTTTTTGCCCCAGAGATTTCCACATCTCTTGAAATGCTGCTTAGCACACACACAAGTATGACTGATTAAACCATACTCTCATGGCTGTTCCTTTGATAAAGGCTTTTTTTAACCCCCTGGCCTTAAAATCAAGGCTACTCAACTACAATTTATTTTGTTGTTACATTAGAGAAAATAAAAATAAAAAAAAAAAGGAACATTGAAATGGCTTCTAAAGTCAGGGCATAGGTGATGAAATTCATGGGGAAAAAAAGAATCTATTAGGTAGCTGATTCCTGGAAAATGTTGATTTCAAAAAAAAAAAAAAAAAAAAACATGTCTATGAGTCAGGAGAGCTGAACTTGCTCAACCAGCTCTTTGCTTTTCTATTCCTGCATACAAGTTAGGAAAAAATTACATAGTATTTTTTTATTTATTAGTATATTTACCTAC